TCACTATGAGAGCACATGATATATTACACAACAGATCCCCAGCAGTGACTGTATACACCAACATAACGCAAATTATAAATTGGTAGATTCTTTTTATAGATTTACTGTGAGGGTGACAGAGCCCTGGAACAGGCTGCCCAGGAAGGGTTTGGAGTCTCCTACTCTGGAGATCTTCAAACCCAGCCTGTATGCCGCCCTGTGCCACGTGCTCTGGGTGTCCCTGCTTGAGCAGGGGGGTTGGACTAGATGATCTCTTGAGATCCCTTCCAATCTCAACCATTCTGTGATTCTGTGATTTTCTTTTCTCACTGATCCAGTACAATTGCTCTTATTTTCTCCATCTGCAGTTAAAACCCTCCTCTTAGCAGAAGTCCCAGTGTGGCTCGTTCTTGAGCTATAGCAAGGTACCTAGCGCAGCAGGGACTTTGAACCTTCAGCCCAGTGTGTGTGGGTGGCCATCTGAAGGCAACCCAGGTGCAGTTCCCCTCTGAAAGCCAGACTATGGCCTCACTTAGAAAGCTGCCAACAACATGACTTTGCTTCTCTCCTTCACTCTACAAAGCCCTGTTTGCTCTTCCAGCTGTTTGTATTAATTTTTGGTTGATCAGTGTCTATAAGTACCTCAAGGGAGGCCGTGAGGAGGATGGTGCTGGCCTCTTTTCACTGGTGGTCACTGAAAGAACTAGAGGAAACAGCCAGAAACTGAAGCATCAAAAGTTCCACAGGAACTTAAGGAAAAATTTCTTAACAGTGAGGGTGACAGAGCACTGGAACAGGCTGCCCAGAGAGGTTGTGGAGTCTCCTTCTCTGGAGATCTTCCAAGCCTGCTTGGACGCAGTCCTGTGCCACGTGCTCTAGGTGACCCTGCGTGTGCAGGGGGGTTGGACTAGATGATCTCTAGAGGTCCCTTCCAACCTTAAGCATTCCATGATTCTATGATGATTTTCTGAATCTAGAAAGTATGTGTGTCCCCTATCCTGAGCTGATGCAACTATATTCTGCTCTCACGGCAAATGGTTTTAGTCTGATGTAACACAGGAATTTACCCATCCAGGGTCCCCTGCATTCACTGAATCAGAAAGATTTTTTTTTTAAACTTATCTTCAATGAAATAAAGGAATCAATCTTTTTTTTTCAGCCATGCACTTGTATCTACAAAAGTTTTATCAAAAAAGGACCAGAAGAAGATTTCTTCTCAAAAGCAAGACCAACACCAAAAGAGCAACTCTTAGTATTGCTGCAGGAGTGATGGACAATCTAAATGCTTCTCCCACACATGAATAAAATGCTGGATCTGAGGTGGGTACTTCATCCTCCAGGGAACAATTTTTTTTTTTATGATCAGTGAATTTATAAGACTACGAAATCTCAGTAAGCAGCTTCAATGAGAAGAGATAACAATCAAAAAAGGCCTGAACTGGTACTTCTGAGAAAGCCAAGTGTAAACTCCTGGTGAAAATTAGGCAGTACATGTTTTTGGTATCCCTGGTATGTGCTCCTAACACAAGTACAAGAATTGCCCCTTACAGAGCTTTTCTCCCCCAAGGGACACCACAAAGCCTAACTTTTATCCTTGTAGAGATCACCAAAAAAAGTTCAGTTCTCAAAAAGTCTTGCTAGATGACAAAGCCATTTCCATTGCTTGCTCTTCTTGTTACTCGGGACCTAAATCACAGCAGAAAATAAAGCAACTGTGACAAGCTGCAGTTTGTGAGGACAAAGTAATGAACATAAAGATCTTGTGCTGCGGGGGTGGCATCTTCCTGAATTGGCTTTGATTCTTAAAATGACAGTTAAAAAATAAATAAAAAAGAACGAAAGAAAGAAAAAGAAAGCAACTCACTTTAACTGTCTGTTCTTTCTAGAGCAGGTAGTTTTGTCATTCAGGTCTCAGTTCCAAGAAATCCAACACTGATGAATAACACTCTGTCAACTTGAAACTTTGTCTGTCAGGATTTGTTTGAGAAAACTTGGTTTCTCCACCAAAGATGTCACAGCCACAAAATGGCCATAGAGTTCTGGCCACATAAATGACCTCCGTTAATTGAAGTCAAACACAACATCAAGGCCACCATATAGACTTTATGGACTAAAAGCTCAGGGCTAATAAAAACAGCCTCAAATCAAAGCACTTTCTAAAACTTGCAGTCTCGTCCTGACCAGAAGAGAGGGAGGTAGAGAAGACCATGGCTGCCCCATCCTTTCTCCTCAAGCAGGCCTGCAGTCTGCAACCTGCTCACAGCTCTGCACCCCTTTGCAGAGCGACTCGTGTGGCCTGTGGCCGCACTCAGGCTGCCAGTGCCCACTTGAGATTCTCTTTCTGGCAATAGTTCTGGTATTATTCCTATAACCTTATTCACACACCAACCTCTACATTTTAAGTGTCTAGAATATATATTTCTGTTCCTCAATTTTAAAGAAAATAGGATGAAAGGTACATTGTAACAGAAGCTGCATGGGAAAATAAGCAGAAAAAACAAGCTCTTATTTAAAAAAATAATCCAAACACCAGCTTTTTGCAATTAATTACAGTCCTGGGTGTTTTTCAGCCTTGATCACAGTTTCCCAAAGTTCTAGCTAGCAAAGTTCTTACTATTTTTGTTTAATCTCTCAGACTATTTTTCACAGTTTCTGCTATCAGTTGCTGAAAATTCTTTCTGTCCATTTTAAGATAGTCCTAGGTACTGGCGGGAAGCCAGTCCTACTGAACAGTGCTCTATGGAGAAGGGACAGCTGCTCAAACTGCTGCAAATCAACACAGCTCTTTCAGAGAGGCACAAATTCACAATGTTTGAGGATCCGGCCCTGGACATGAATTCGTGAAAATATTTCCGTAAATACAGAGTAATTCATTTTAAGTTTTACATTTAAGTTACTGACATGTTGTTAATTTTTAAGTAGTAGATAACAGAGTATAAGGTTGCATGCATATTCTGAGTTTTTAGTGTGGCTTTTTGTCTTAGGGAGACTCCACTCAGAACCCTTTTTTCTGGTCACAGGCTGTTTAACGTCTTCTTTTTCCACATGGCCATTCATTGGTGAACTGAAAACTACAGAAACCCATGCAATGATAAGTTCTAAATAAGTAAAGCACAAAGACATTCATATAAATTAAATTACATTAATGTACCTTATTTATTACATGTGAATACCTAGGGGTTATTCAGAGCATCTGGTACCAACTCCATCTAACTTACACACTCTGAATCACATCATTGGCCATCTCCCTCATCCACTGACTAAACTGATAATTTAAAAGTCCAAGTTTGACCTGTCTAACTAAGAGCGATTCTTTAAGTACATCACAGAAGGTAGTGGAAAACATCCTTCATTGTCAGAAATTATTTGTCTCCATATATCACCTGGTAAAATTAATCGCAGAACATAATAATTGTTAACGTGACTTGAACTAAAAGATAATGTAAGAATTGAACATATTCTCTGTTTTAGATAAAAGAGCTCCTCAGCTCAATTTATTACAAAACAAACCAAAACAAAACACAATAATATTTTTTTGTCTTTGCTTCTCAAGATGCAGTCAGATCAAGAACAGCTTTCTTCTGCAAAGTTTCTTATGTAACCATTGCTCTAGGGTCTTACACACTCAGAAAAAAAAAAAAGAGAAAGCCCCTTTTGGCTACCACAAAGCTTGTGATAGAAGTGTGGCTTCTGAAGCCACCCATTCCAGTTAGAGATATAGGTAGCTGATTTTAAAATCGCCAAAGAATTCTTAAGATACTTAGCAGGGGAGGCAAAGTCCTTAACCAAAATGTTAAATGCGTGTGCTTGATAGGAAAGTGAAGGACACTGAGAATCTTCAAAAAATGCATCTTTCCTTTTACACAGTGACACAAAATTTCTGGTTCTAACTTTAAGAAATTATATTTTTAAATTATGGACTCAGATTTTCAGTGGCTTTTTTGAGTGCCCCAGAAACAATTTATATATTTGTTGCAACTGATCTTATGTGGTGAAAGGCATGTTCTGAAGCAGAACTCTTGGAAGGAGCAGAGTAACAGCAATTTCTTTTGTTCACAGAGAAGGATGTTACTCTAAGGAGACCTTGTACAAGAAAACAGATATTCTCAAATATTTCAAATGTGTTAAAGAATCTCTCATCTCATCTCAAACACAACAGTTTTTACATAAACCCAGTCACAAGTCTGAGTGTTCATGCCTGGATCCCGATGATGAGAAAGCTCAGAATCTTTCATCTTCACAGAAATAGTGAGACAGAGTCCCAGCTGCTACAAGCAGCTGAAATCCTGAAAATCTCACAGAGACACTAAGTGCACAAGCTGTTCATAGAATCTGGACTGAGATTTGATTTTAAAACTCAAGCAGCTCCATGTGGAGGCAGTGCAACATTTGATTCTGTAGCTTTATGTAGTGTTCGGCTTTCTAGACATGCTTTAAAATGTAGCATTTTATAGGCTCTTATTGTGATTAATCATTGTCAAAAGAAAAAAGAAAAAAAAAGTGTGGTTGCTACAAGTTGTAGTATATCATTTAGATAGCCATCAAGCTGTGCTGCCCAGGAAGTGACTTTTGAGAATAGAACATGGTAGAGCAACACCTCATTTAAAGGAAGTCAGAACTTAAGTGTCTGTGAAGAGAAATACTCAAAGTGCTTGATATAAGTTACAGTCACATCTAATTACTTTTCAAAAAAAAAAACAAACCAAATGCAGAAATCATCCTCTACACTCTAAATCACTGTGGGAGAGAGAATATGATTTTGAATTGTTTCCTGTGCCATGTGCTCTAGGTGTCCCTGCTTAAGCGGGGGGATTGGACTAGATGATCTCTAGAGGTCCCTTCCAACCTTACCCATTCTGTGATTCTGTGAAGAGACACAAGCAGAGGTTACAGCTTTAAAAGCAATTTGTCTGACATACAGAATGTGTATCTGGATAGAAGAGAGGATTTCACCTTAAATCAACAATTCTAAATGGGTATAAAAACAAATTCCCAAGAAAACAACAACAGAGAAGACTTACTGTCTTTTGTGCTGTTCTTCCTGAACTTTTCCAGGTCCACATTTGGGGGTCTGCTGGGCTTCTGTGGGGGCTGCCCCAGGGTGAACAGTGGGGGCAAAGCCTTCCGCTTCGGGGTGGCCACGTTCTTGTCTCTCTCCTCTTTTTCCTGTGATCCCCCCCGTAGCCGGCCTGCAGCATACGCTGGGTTTGTCTTAAGGAACTTGGCGGGAGAAGAACCAGATTCTTCCTGGTTGATTTTGTTGAGGAAGATATTCTTGACTGCACTTACTCCCTTTTCTTCAGGCTTCTCCTCCACATTTTGGGGGGTGACTTGAGATGAACTGGTCCAATTGCCAGTAGGTTTCAGAGACATATTGGAAGAATGACTGTGATTGCTGACAGCTTCAGCAGTGTTGTTACTATCTTTGTCTGCTTCCTTTGCTGCTCTAAATGAGTTTATTTTTGGTCTTGGGCCTGATGTCCCTTTATGCAGAAAAGCATTTCTATTAGAAGCGTCTTCATTATGAGAGACTTCATGGTTTACAGAAGGTTTCTGTGCCAGAGGTGGTTTAGAGAAATGAGGCTTAGGCTCATTTTCTTGTGTTGCAGCAGTGAATTTTTCCTTAACTCCAGCTACTTTGGAAAATACTGCTGGCTCATTCTCCTGTGATGCAAAATTCGAATTTGGTTTGGATCCCCAAGGCTGCTTTTCTTTCTCTTGAGGAGAAAGAAACTTGTTCCCTGGAGGTTTTGGATACAGAGGCTTTGGCTCTTTTGGCAAGTCACTGTATTTGGTGGGGGTCTTAGGGCATCCAGCTTTTCCATCATTTTCTCTGCTAGTTGCCTGAAGCTGAACCCCAAACCTTTGTGCCACTGGTTTCAAATACAGGGGCTTAGGATCCTTTTCTGTTTTATCATCAGCAGGAGGCTTGACCCCCAGAGGAGGCTTAGAGTGAACAGGCTTGTGAAAGGCCTTGGGTCCTGAAGGAGATGCTGCATTTCCTTGACTTGCAAATTTCTCAAGTGCTTCTTTCCTTACTTATAATCCTGAATGGATGGGTTGTCCTGGGACTTTGAAGGGTCGGCTGTTTCCAGAAACATCTTCTGCGGGGCTGTTACCTGCATTAAATTTTGCCATGAGTACTTTCACATCTGCCTTGCCATCCTGTGATCATAGAGAAGGGAAAAAAAAGAAAGAGCAGCAATGAGAAAGTCTCTGTTGTAGTGTTCACACATACTGTACTTTAAAGGGTTTCCTGGGCTGAGGCTCGCAGTACTACTGATTGGCTAGGGAGATATTGTAGCACATCTTTCTGTAGGGCTAAAGCAGCTCACTATTTTGTTATATCCTTGCTGGGGCTATACAATCTTTCACATTCTTCAGTGCAGGTACAGCTTTTACAGGTGCTCATTCAGCTCCTTTTGTGCATACTACAGTTTCTGTTTATTTGAGGAATTGAGGACAAACACCTATTAAACATATTGAAAATAGCCACTACTTTAAAAATAAGATATCCTTAAAATACAGGAGTCTGCTGCGGTGAGAAGCACGGACTGGGTTGAAACCTGGATTAGGCAGCAGACTACTCTTATTTCTGCCAGCCCTGAGAGAACTGCAGAACTGAAAGTGTCTTTGTGAAAACAGAAAATTTTCTGGTTTGGGAGGGCGGCTCACTGTTCTTTCCCTTCACAGCATTTTTCTTCCTTGCTCTTCCACATTTTCCCCTCCTTAGACCCGTTTCTCTTCTCCATTCTGAACTTGAAAATAGTGCTTGGGTAGACAGAAAATGAAAATATATGGAGTAAAACAGGAAGAAGACAATCAATAAACCCAGATACTGTCAAAAATACTTACTGGATAAAAAAAAAGATAGTATAAAGCAGGGGTAATATAACTAGGAAGAGCTTTGACTCACTTGTTTAAAAGTAAAGGACTTTCACTACAAAGCACAAGAAATAAAGGACTGAACAAAAATTTTAGGACATAGAAAGAACTGTCTTCACTTGGCAGTGCAGGACACGAGGTCACTGCACATTCAGTCATGCACCAATTTTACCTTCATTCACATGCTTTTGAATGGGGTTTGTCAGCTCTTCTGCCTTACCACATTACATGAACTGTCATGTAGGAGTAGTTTTATTTTACCTATGGCTTTTATGTTCCTTTTTTTTTTTTTTTAAAAAAAAATTGCTATTAAATTAGTTCCACCAGCAAATTCAGTCTTTTAATAAACGCAGCCCAAAGAAGCACTAAATTAATATGCACGAAATCTCAACCCAGAGCACCATATTGTTATCTCCTTTGCTAATGTAGGGAAGGGAAGAAGTTCACATTTACTATAGAGATCATCAGGTTTCAGCTGCTGGTTGCCACACACACACACGTATACTGCAGAGATACACACATGTATCATCAATCATTCAAGATTTCCTGTGTAACATCTCAAAAGGCACTGCTTTTACCCATGTAAGCAGAAAGTTAAGCTAACTGCACTGCCAAATATGAAAAAAAAGCTTTCTACCTCTGATCTCTCTTGACTCTGGTAATGCATTTTTAAAAAATTTTCTGTAACAAAATCTAAACCATCAGAAACACTTAAAGTCTTCAGGACTTACAAAGGATAATCTGATCAGATGCTTAATCAACTCAGACATATTTATTTCAGAAGTTATAAAAATAAATGGATTGTTTTGTTGCTTGTTCCAGCTCAAATTTAAGAAAAATTACTGTGTTAAACCACAGCGATGTGAAACTTCTGGACAAAAGATATTCACCAAATACCTCCTGTGGAAGTTGGAAAAATAGCTTTGAAGAAGATTTTTCTTATTATGACCTATGGTTTCTGAGCAGTCTTCTCATTTTTTGCAGCAGCAACACCAATTACATCAATACACACTTTCAAATGCTTTGAGCAATTGACTTTTGCCATGTTAAAACAATTTACTTTCTATGCAGCTAATGTATTTCTTTTAATATTTTTCCCCACTACTATGAACAGACCCCAAACCTTTCCCAAAGCCAGGAAAATGTGCAAGTTCTTCCAGGAGGAGAAAGAACAGCTAGTGGGGATGTGCAAGGCTTATAGTCAATGATGTAGCTGCTCTCATTTATTCAGAGCAAATAGTAAATAAAACAATCTAGGAAGAAGTCAGGAAAATCTGTGAAATCTCTGTTTCTCTTTGATATATGTCATCAAGTATATCACCAATTCATCTTTTATTAGGCTTGCTTTATGTTAGGAACCATATGCTGGATTCTGATGCCTAACCTGATAGCCAGGTAGAGAGACAGAGAACTGGGAAAAAGCAAATCCTGTATTCCTGGCTCTGCTCATGGAATAATCCCCACAACTTTGTTCCCTTTCCCAGAAGGAAACATTCTGGGAACCAGACTGCTACCCATTCTGTTAGCATGAACAAGAGGCTGTAGTTGATGAAATGGGAACTTGAAAAGATTATGAAGTTAGATTAAGTTAACCCCTACCCTTCCCACCTAAAGGTGAAATGCCCGTTGGCGGAAGAGCCTCATGCAATAATCGGTTGGGTTATTTACTGAACTTCCTGTTTGCATCTATTGGGAAACTCAAAGCAAAATATTTTGGCCTTTCAGCTCCTGTTCTGAACTTGAGGCAGCCGACAAGGCATGCAATATTTGCTTTGAGAGGAGATGGTTGCACTATTCAATGTGTTTGCTCAAGTATAGAATAATATCCAGTTTTTGTTTCTCAAGCCATAAATTCAGGTAGGAGATTTGTCAAGACAGCCCTTTTTCAGCATTCCACGGCCTTTAACAAGGCCCCACGCAGATACCAGGATACAGTTGTATCAAATTCTTGCAGCACTAGATCTTAATTAAACTTCAGTGCAAACAATTGCAGTTCTCTGTTTTCGGCAGAGGTGCACATGTTTGCATAGAAGCACAATATAAAGAAAACTCAAGAAATAAAACTACTAAATTTATTTTTCCTGAATTTACTGTGAATATTTCACCCCCCTACTAGCAGCCCAATTAGAGAGAGAAAAATAAATAAAGGTCATAAATGTATTCTCATTATCTACTTTCCAGTCTCACTGTAGTAAAAAAGATCATTTAACATCAACTTCACACACATCTCTCATGCGCTTAAAACAAACAGAAAAACAGCACCAGTCAGGAGAATGGCAGACATGTATGCATACAATCTTTTAAGCGAATTTGTAAGCAAATATTTAAAAAAGCTTAAGCAAATGAAAGATAAGTAACTGTTGACTGTACAAGAAACGTACAATACCTGCAGAGTCGATTTATAAAGGAAAAATATTTTTTTCCTTCTCACCCGTAAACTTTTTTTCCTTTATATTCCCAAGTGATGAGGTCTATACAATCCTTTTAAAATCTCTGAATCTTGTAAAGAAAACAAATCTTGATGAGATTACGGGAAACTAATGAAAGAAAGATTAAAAAGCTATACTTTTCAAGAGAAAAGTGTGAATGCTCATGAATTCTGTGACAGCAAAAGATTCACAGGAGCTGGTAACCACTGAAAGAACTGAGCTCTAAGCCGGAAACAAGATAAATAAGGAACTGTAAAGAAAAGTCAAGGAAAACTACAATTGAAAGTTATAAAAAAATAGAGATATGAAAATCATTTTGCAACATAGGGGCCTTATTTAGCTTCTGCTGACATTAACAGATTTGGGGGAGCTTGGCTGCCTGCAGGAGATACTAATGCCTTTTCGAATTCATGATAAATTATTGCTTGACTATTTTTCTTTTCCAGACAGAGAGACTTCAGAATTATTATTAGGCAATACTTTTCTTTTATTTGTTTCCAGAAGAGATAAATAATTTCCAAGTTGCTTTTCTTCCCCTTCAGTCTTCACTGGTTAAAGAAGACTCCTTTGGAGTGTGCTTTCAGCATGTGCAAAGTGGAGCTCAAATGCTGCAATACTCTGTACTTACTAATGCAGATAGAAGAAGAATGAAAAGAAGATGGAAAGACAATATCTGCCCAAACAAAAGGACTTACTGATACAATGGTTGATATGCAAGAGAAATGAGCCCTCAACATATACTGGATAATGAAAATACAGGTTATTCCATCCTGCTCTCTGAGATTTTTAAAAAGGCAGATGTAAGGGATGGAGAAGAGAATGTCTTTATGAACATACATAAATATATGTCCAGAAAGACAAAACAAGCATATTTGTGAAGATATGCAGTTGTCAAAATTAGGCAAGGTAGGAGCTGGTGCTCCAGTCTGATTACTCTTCAAGCCCTTTGTATAGTCTTTTACATCTCTGCTTTCCCCCTCCTGTCACTGCTGGTTTTTTACATCTTTTACCATAAGACCAACTACATCATATTGCAGCAACATATCAGGACAACATAGTTCATCCTCTCCAGGTCAGACTGAGACCAAGACAGTCAGATGACATCCCAGCCTGATCCCAAACTATTGTTGTCACAGCCAACGCACCAGACTAAAGTACCTATCGATGCACGATCATGTCTCCAGCTTACGGAATGATAACTTCCACTTAAGTTCTCACTTTCCTTCCATCTTCTAAAACTTTCCTATATGTCAAAAAACAGAAAACAATAGCTACAATTGACAACACATCCTTCAACAACTGAAGCCTGGGAGCTTCCATTTTCAACCAAAACTTTCTGTCTAGTAGAAACTGGTTAACTAATATCTCCTCTGAAAATGATTTTGATATATATAGTTTATATTCTTAAACTATATATAAAGTTAAAATATTATATAGTTAAATATATTTATACTTACATATATTAAATGTAAAATATATTTTTATACTTATATGTATATATTTATACTTCATACTTATATATTTATATATATATTTATACTATATATAGAATATATTTAAACTTGGCTTAGCAGAAACATCCAGTTTCACAATATTTAATGTTCAGGCTTTCAATATTATTTTTTCATACACTAATCAAAAGATTTCAGACTACTGTAAATCTCCTAGCAAGTCTGCCAAGAAATGAAGCAGACAGATGCCTCTTTACAGAGAACCATGCTCACATACACAGCATGTACAGCAACTGCCTTAGAAACATCTTGCATTTTACTCTAGTTATTCAAGTATTATACAAGTGAAGATAATGTAACATCTGAGTTCTGAAGCAAGAAAAGCTTAAGTTCCTGCTAC